ATAAAACCGTATATCGCACAACATCTTGTTTTATTTTTATTTTATTCTGCGTATGCCTGGTGTTGTGTATGTTTCTTCGTATGTGTGAAGTACTCCAAGGAACCAAAAGAATGTACATAACATGTATGTACATTTTACATAAAAGAACAATAATGAAATACCCTTGGACCCATCCCAGAGTTTAAGAAAAAGAGTAAAATCAGTATCTTTGAAGCCCCTCGTGTCCTCCTGTGATTCTTGGCCCTTCCCTAGCTCCCATCCAGAGCAGGCAAACATCCATCTCAATTTTGAGTTAATCATTCCTTTGTTTTCTTTGACAGTTTCATTAAATATATAGGCATCTTAAGCAATAAATCATTTAATTTTTCTTTATTAAACTTCATGAGAAGGAAATTACATATTAGATATTCTTCAGCAACTTGCTTTTTCACTCAATATTTATTTTTTTCTTTTATCCATGTTTGCACAAATAATTATATTTCATTCATTTTTACTGCTACATAACAGTAATTCATTGTGGGAACATACCACAATTTACCTAGCCATACTCCTGTTTATGACTATTTGTTTTATTTCTGGTCTAAGACTCCTAACCTCAAAATAGGCTTACACAGACCCTAAATATTTAGGGTAACCATATAATTTATTGTAAAAACTGAGACATGTTTGAGAGTGAAAGGCAATGTTATTAATAATTATACCAGGACAACAGGCATAAACCAGACTGCATAATCATTCCATAACACCAGTTATTATCTCAGGATTTCTACAGTGAAGACTGAGACGTTTAAATCCAGTCATGCTGAACTGATGGTCAGTTCACATTTCACATGCTATTAGCTTCTGCATTTAGAGTATAAACCCAAAGGGAAGCCCAAACAATTAATCATTCCTTTTATTTGGGAAGAAGAAAAGCAAATTTCTTAAGAGGCAAGATGGAGAAAACACACAGCTTCCCAGTCTCTGCTTCTCAGACATTCACGGTTTATCATTTGAAGAAAACTTCAGCTACAATGGCAATGACAGCGAAGATAACATTTTAAAGGCCTTAAAATCCAAATCCTTTTTCTGAACTAGGACAGGGCTCAGGGCCGACTACCTCCTGCCTCATTTAGCTGTTGCTACAACCTTGTGTGGCAGGTGTGGCACATGAGGCTCAGGGAGGGGGAGTGACTTGTCTGAGGTCACAATGCATGTCAGTGGCAGAGCCTCAAACACTGTCTAAATGAGTGACCATGGAATTTACTATACAAATCAGGACATTTCTGGGAGTAAAAAGGGAGTGCTATTAACAACTGCACCAGGAAAGTAGATGTAAATGGGGACACCCCCAGCACACCAGGACATGTGATCACTCTAGTTCTACCTTTCCCATATACAGTTGTAACCTATCAAGTTCAGAAATAAGTGATTTACGGAACTGACCAGAATTTGGACCCAAATCTCTGGTGTTCACACTCTTTTTGGGTGGAAGTGCACCTCTCTTGCATGATACACACAGTCTCTCACGCCTCCTCTCAGTACATGGGAGAGGCCTGAGAGGCATCCCAGTAGCATTCTTCCATCCAGCAAAGCCGGTCATCATTTGCCTCCCTGAACGTCATAATTAAATTAGAGCAATATTCCTCCTCCCAGTGCACCTTCTGTCTGGAGCTGCAGCGGCAAAATTAATGTCCCGTTCATCAGAGCTATCATCCCTCCTGTGACCACGTTCTCTGACTGCAGCAGGTTCCTGGAGACCCTCATCCTCGCGCCTTTCTTTACACACACGTATGGAATGTGAGGAGGACTGTTTAACGGATGACTGTCATGGGACATCTGTTGTGTGGAAGACAGATCGCACTTGCTTTACTAGACTCCAGAGGTAGAACCAAGACCAATAGACCTAAGTCACAAGGAGAGAAGGGGAGGATAAGATGATGGCTCAGGAATCAAGTATGCTGCATGATCACACACAAATGTGTGAGTTCTCACTCTCTTTCAAACACACACACATACACAAATACACAAAACAATTTTTTAGAAGAAATGTTTTAGGCATAGAAAAATAACTACATAAGTCTCCTCTGGACCCGAAGCACATGTATGGCTTTTGCTTACAAAAATGTTCACAATCACCCCAAACCAGAAACAATGCAAATGTCCATCAAAAGGAAATGATGAACTGTAGTGTGATCTTACAATAGGAATGCTCCAGTAATAAAAATGCACACAGATCACTGCCACATGCAATAAATTACTTTTACAATCAAAATGTTGAGGGAAAGAAAAACATATATATATATATATATATACACACACATACATCTATATATACATATATATATGTATGCATATATATAATCATGTATATGTGTACGTATACATAAATATATG